ACACCGGTACTTGAAGTCCTTCAGAAGCTCTTCAATTCCGTCCTCCATGGTGGCATTACTCCGGAGGCGTGGAGCAGAAGCGCGGTGGTTTTGTTCTTTAAGAAAGGCGACAACGCTCTCTTGAAGAACTACAGACCGATTCCCTTCTGAGCCGCGTCTACGTGCTGTTTTCGAGTCATTATGAATCGTCTCGCACGCAGACTCGACGACTTCCAGCCTCCCGAACAAGCCGGTTTCCGAAAAGGCTTCAGTACCGTAGACCACATACATACCCTTCGGCAAATTATACAGAAGTCCGAAGAGTACAATCTGCCACTTTGCCTGGCGTATGTGGACTATGAGAAAGCCTTTGATTCCGTCGAAATTTGGGCGGTGCTACAGTCTCTTCAGCGGTGCCTAGTTGACTATCGGTATATTGAAGTGCTGAAGTGTTTGTACAGTAGGGCTACGATGGCTATCCGAGTACAGAACCAGAGTACGAAACCTATCCAACTACAGATAGGTGTAAGACAGGGTGATGTTATATCCCCGAAACTCTTCACCGCTGCGTTGGAAGACGTTTTCAAGCTACTGGACTGGAAAGGATACGGTATTAACATCAATGGCGAGTACATCACTCACCTTCGATTTGCCGACGATATAGTTAGTCCTTATGGCAGAATCGCTGGAGGACCTTAGCACTATGCTCAATGACCTCAATGGTGTCTCCCAACGAATAGGTCTTAAGATGAACATGCACAAAACAAAGATCATGTTTAATGTCCATGTCACACCTATGCCGGTAATTGTTGAGAGCACTATGCTCGAAGTTGTTGACGAGTACGTTTACCTGGGACAAATAGTCCGACTAGGTAAGTCCAACTTCGACCGAGAGGTCAATCGACGGATTCAACTCGGCTGGGCAGCGTTCGGGAAATTACGACACATCTTCTCATCAGGTATACCTCAATCTCTGAAAACTAAAGTGTACAACCAGTGCGTGTTGCCAGTGATGACTTACGGATCTGAGACGTGGTCCTTCACTGATGGTCGTGTGAGGACGCTCAAGGTCGCTCAGCGAGCTATGGAGAGGGCTATGCTCGGAGTTTCTCTGCATGATAGACTCAGAAATGAGGATATCTGTAGTAAAACCAGAGTGACCGACATAGCCCAACGGATTAGTTAGCTGATGTGGCAATGGGCCGGCCATATAACTCGAAGAACCGATAACCGATGGGGAGAGAAAGGTTCTCGAGTGGCAGCCTCGTACCGGTAGGCGTAGTGTAGGGCGACCCCCCACTAGATGGAGTGACGACCTGGTAAGACATGCAGGAAGTCGATGGATGCAGGTGGCTCAGGACCGTGCTTTGTGGCATTACTTGGGGGAGGCCTATGTTCAGCAGTGGACTTGTGAAGTGCTGTAATGATGATGATGAATGATCTGAATGGATTTTTTTTTGGTTGACGGCGCTAAAATGGAAGTGGGTTGCCTATTGAGAACAGTTGGAGATTTCGTCGGTGTAGTAGATTTTAGTGCTGTTGGGATCTGGGAGGTGTTAGGGATGTAGGTTGTGTTAGGAATCTAGGATTGGTTGGAGATAAGTACTGGATCCTTGCTGCAGCCAGGAGTGTTTCTAGTCTTCATCATCTGAAAAAGATCGATTGAAAAACTTGAACTTTTTACATAATTTTCTATATTTCTTTCATATTTATTTCTTTAATATATCGTTGAAAATATTTAAAGGTTAAAAGATGTAATGAATAATTTGAATTTTAAGTATTATTATTTTTTAAATTTTAATTTCAAATAAACAGTTAACATGCTAACACACAACTAATACGTAAATTATAAAATTATTATTATTAATTTTATTTAAGTAAAAATGTAGGTACTTACATCATGTGTAGTTGAAGACATACTAATAAGTAGCAGGAATTTCAGGTGGTATAATCATTAAATCTGTATGTAACTCTGCAGGTATCACTGTTTTATTAATTTTGTATAGGTAACCAGTAACCACATAGGCTGTAAAATAATAAGTTATTAGTCTTACACTAAAGTTATTTATATTCAAATATACATATTTTTTTTCTGAATTATATATTTTCATTGAGAAAGTGTAAAGTCATCATATAATCATGTTAAAATGAAAGTTTGTCAGTTGATTTCTACTAAAGTTCTATTTATATTAAAGCACCCTGTTCTCTTAGTATGTGAGAAATATTTTTAATGAATGCTATGAGCAGCTTTATTTATTTTTGGCCACTTCTTTATTTACATCACTCCACACTCCTTAAGCAAAACAAATAAAACGACAGTGAACTCAAAATTCATGAAATGAACTATGCATTTAAAACTTTATCTAAGCGCTCTTGATTTTTATTGAAGGTTTTAGAACAATAAAACTAGAACTTACTTTTCGCTACTTTTTTTTACTGCGAGACTTCGATTCCTTGGCTGTGGAGCAAATTACATAGCTCTTCGTACTTTTGAATACACCACTGTAGTCCGTGCACTTATTCTGTGCTTTCTATTAGTCACCATTCCCTAGAAATAAACAATAATCTTTGTTCAACAGAACGAATCAATATCAACAGACAATGAATACACCGACTGAAAAATAATACAAACTCATGTTTAATATAGTTACTTACTTTTACATGAAATCTACTATTATTATAAACTGTGTGGCTAGTTCTTGACGACATCATTATGAAATTCAGCAAAAATTAACTAAAACCAATCTAAAATACAAAACTATTAAAACAACACGAAGCGCGAAGTCAAATGTTTATCTTAAAAAAGTCGCATTCGAAAATCACAATTCATAAGACATGAAACATGGTTTTATAAACATAAAAATGTTCCTCCGTAAATAATTATACAAGCTGTATTTTGTTAATAAACTGTTTTAAATTAATTAACACACTATTATTAATAAGTCAATACTTTTTTTTATTTTTACACACAGTAAAAGACTCTACAACTATAATAATATCAATTTATAAACGTATCATTCCTTTTCATTCCTACCTTTTAATTTTATTGAGTCACAAGGTTTGTTTACAAATAGTTACAATATAGTATGGAGTACACGTGAGTAAGAGATAAGTGTTCGTGCTGCCGACACTGTAGCCACAGTTTGGTAAAAGTTTTCGTTTAGTTGACTCCATACGAATTCTTGACGCAATTGTTTAATATTTGTGCTCAGGTACAGAGTGGCTCCAATCATCTACGACCGAGTGCTTTCCAATTGGCTCGATTCACTGGCACTGCGAAGAGATGTTGCAACTCCTTGCATTTTCTTTCGCATTTACCACGGGGAGTGCTCTAAGGAATTGTTCAGATTAATACCAGCCGCCAAATTTCATGAACACACTACTTGGCAAAACTCCTGATACCATCCACACCATCTGGATGCGTGGCGGCCCACCACTGTATTTTTTTTATAGGATAGGGTGACAAACGAGCACACAGTCCACCTCATAGTATGTGGATGATGTGGCCCAGAGACATCTACATTGATCCTCAATTAAGAATCAAAACGCAGATACATTGACACCCCTGAGGACTAAGATGGAATGTCTCATTTCCCGTAAAAAAGGGTCTCTGGATCTCTATACTCAACAAACAAAATACAGCAGTATATATAAGCTGCTATTTTACCCTGGTATTCTGTGAGAGTGTGACTCTACTACGTATGAAATGGACATATTTATCAATAACTGCAAGCATCGCACCAGCAATTCCCCTATTGTTGCAGATGTTAATGTATGATGGTGAACACATACACTCAGCTGAGCTGTATTCCTGTTCTCCTGTATAAAAAAACATTTTGCTATTTCTTAAGTGATTAGGATTTTAACTTTGTAGGAAAAAATCAAATAATTTATATATCCTTCATTTTACCAAAAAGTTTATTCATAACAGTGTTTCATCTTTACAAATAAATCGTTCGTTAAGTTAAAAGCATGTTAACACATTTCATTTTCACAAATAATTTTATTTACACTAATAACTTCAGCAAGATCTGATAAAAACACTGCGTGAAATTTGTTAAACTGGCATAATAGGAGTTAGGTCAAAATGACCTTACATATTTTAGTTTGAATCTAGACAATGCATATGACAGTGCCATTCTTTTTAGTAGTTTATTTATTGCTCCAAGTCTTTGATGACACAGAAGCACTAAGAGAGCGACCTCACTCATGGTGATGTGCAAAGCTAAAAAATTCAATTTCATACTTTTATGCCAATTTTCTTGTAGATAATTTTGATATTTTGTCATAACTTTTTGTGTTCATTTCTTGGGTTTTGGCGTTAATGATGATTTTTGGTTATTTGATCTACAATTTTGTTGGTAGATTGAAAAAAAGAGATTTAGAGAAAAGAGAATGATAGTGTCTATAATCAATAACTGAAAAAGCTCGTATGTATTTTACACCATCTGATGAAGCATCCGCTGAAGAAGAGAATTTATCAATGAGCATAGGAAATCCATCAGCACAGTCTCTTCCCACAGATAGTGATGACACTGACACTGTCTATAATCTGAAGTCAAAAACGGTTTGACAGTTTTTCACTTCTGCAGTAAGAGAATATCTGATCTATAACTGGATTCCGAAAGTTCTCAAGTTGTGAGGAACTGATTTCTCATAATGTTGGTAAAGATTGATTTACAGCTTGAGATAGGACACCAGGAGCAGAGCCTCTTTGGCATAATATTCAAATGAGAGCTGAAAATTAATAAATTCCAATGAAGTAGGCACCAGAAGCTAAATCTGGCAATGAATAAGAATCTGTCATAGCTGAACCAGAATGGTGGCTTTCTGGCACTGATAATATACTGAGAAATGTTTTATATTAAATAATGCATGCATAGTGCCATAAAAAGAGCTTATTGCTGTCAATTAATTACCTTGTAAAGTAAGATTAAGAGATTACTTAGTTATCTACCCCTTAATATTAGGATTAGATTTCTGCTCCTGTGACGTTGGATTTAAAACACTCGGGCCTACTTTTAATCTCTGCAATGAGTCCTCGCACCACCAGAGGCGATGTGAATCTGTCAAAAGATGAGCCGCAACATATGTATACAGGCTGCCTTAGTGCCAACGCTAATTTCCGTGCAAGTGGTACTGCACCGACCTCCACACCAAAAAGAGAGCTGCTGAGCGCACCACGGCTTTCAATTTGCGCTGGCATACCGAGCGCTACCTCCCCTAATTCAGGCTTATCAGATCCTATCCATAATAGTGCTGAACCTTCCATACGTAACACAACAACGCGGCACAAAAGCTCTCCACTCCACACTTCAAAATTATGAATACGCCATGAGCTTTTTCTGTATTTAATTCGTCGTTTTGACGTTACTACACGTGGTGATCTTGGTTCTTCCATTACAACAAATACAACTTTTAGCTCCTCTACAACAAATCAGATAATATTGCAGTCAAAATCACAGCTTACTCAAACTCAAATTATATTATGAACAAACCACAAAACAAATTGCATTTGGAATATTTTGATTTTTGATTGTTGCATTGTTGTTCAGCGAAGCAGGCAAAAGTTTTGGACTATACAGCATAGTTTATTTTGCATATTGTTGACAAAACTATTTACTACAGCTAACAATCTAAAGTGTATTTTATTTACAAAGTCTTTAGAATATTAATTTATGCTAATGCATCACATTGAGAAATTATTTTAAGATTTTGATGCTAGCAGTCGCCCAAGCGGATAAAATATCTGATATTATTAATTCCGCCTTTTGTAGTTTTAAATTTTTCTTGAAAAGTTCAGCAAATTTTGAATCAATATTTTGGCGAACATCTTCAATAGTTTTTATAATTAAATCGACATGTGGTAAAGCTGCTGTCAAATTGCATAGCAGCGATTGAAGTATTTTGCATAGTGTCAGTGTGGGTTGGCCGAAGGAGAATAAAATAAGATATGATTTAAATTTATTAATGAATAATTTATCATGTAACAATAATTTAAATTTGACATTTAATTGTAACAAATATACCAATAGAATTAATTTAATAGACATTAATAATTTAATTAAGAAATTATTGACTACAGATAGGTACTACCTATCCAAATATAATTTAAGACAGATAGCAAATGTGCTATCTTATTATTTATATATTAACTCAGCCAAGGACTTGGCTACCCAGACATCTGCTCCTATTGAGCAGCATAATGATTTGATATCTAGTTTTGAATCCGTTCCAAGTAATTTAAATTAGAAAATGAGACAATAGAGATAATCTCTAGCAGTTATAATAATTTAAATAATTTAGAATGTAGCTTACAAATCCTGAATAGTTGCAATTGTATAACTCCACAAAATGATAATAAAAATTGTTTACACCTGGTTCATCAGAATATACAAGGCATGATAGGCAAAGAACTAGAAATTGAATTGTTCTTAAATGGCAACAATATTCATATTATATGTATTACTGAACATTGGTTAAAAGCTCATAATTTAATGTTTAACTTCAGTAATCACCAGGTGGTTTCCGTTCCGGTGGCTCCTTAACTTTAGCTAGTAAATTATTATCATGTAAAGAACGTAAAGATATTGTGAGCCTCTCTGTTGAGCGAACTGTAGAAATGGCATGTGTTGAGTTTGAGCACCTCATTGTTGTAAGCGTTTACAGACCCCCATGTTCTTTATATGATACTTTCGAAAAAATTATGGAGGAAGTTTTAGCTAAGCTTAATAAACAGAATAAATCTGTTGTAATATGTGGAGACTTTAATATCAATCTCCTAGAAGCTTCCTCCACGAATATTAAATTTAGATCATTGTTTAAATCTCATGGTCTCTTTAATTTATTTTTGGAGCCAACACGTATTGCTGAATCTAGTGCAACATGTATAGATAACATTTTTACAAATGTTAAGCCGTTCAATAAATGTATAATTCAAAAATTGAGCTCTGATCACTGTGGACAATTAGTTTCATTACCTTATGTTCACAAAAAGCAAATAGATAAAAAAAGTAGTGTTTGTTCCAGTAAATGCACATCGCTTGGAGAAGTTTAGAAGTAACATAGTAAAGAAACTTCCATTAATTTCGTACCAAAATAATCCAATTTTTTGTATGGAACATTATTTAAGCTTATTTGCAATGAATTTAATAATACTTTTACTTCTAATACATTCTACTTGAACAATCGCAAAGCATTTAATGACTGGGTGACAGTAGGAGTCCATAAGAGTAGACAAAGGTTATATGAACTTTACAATGAAAGGTCATATAATCCTAGCATCAAATTAAGGGAATATGTAAAAAAATATTCCAAAATATTTAAAAGAGTGTGCTCCTTAGCCAAGTCATTATATTTGAGCAACAAAATAAAGACTGCTTCTAATAAAATTAAAATGACATGGAGTATAATTAATAGTGAAACTGGTAAGGTCAATCCTCGCAATTCAAACTACCAGTTAAGTTTCAACAATAAATTAACTAAATCAAATCAGGACGTTGCAATGGTTTTTGAGAAATATTTTACTGATATTCCGATCTTAACCACTAAGTCACTGAATTCTTCTCCTGCCGTCGCCGAATCATTACTTAAACAAAATGTAAATGTGTGTACAAAGAATTTTACATTTCATAAAGTGTCATCAAAAGATATTGTAAAATATTTTAAGACTATTGATATTAAGAGAACCGCCGATCAGTGGGGGATTTCTGTTAAAGTTATTGCGTCTATAATAGATGCGATCGCAACTCAACTATCTATTATTTTTAATACTAGTATAGAATCTGGTGTGTTTCCTGATTTAATGAAGCATAGTAAAGTAATACCTTTATTTAAATCTGGTAGTACATTGGACCCCGCTAATTTTAGACCTATTTCTGTACTGCCAACACTTAGTAAAATTTTTGAAAAAATTATTCTTGATCAAATGTTAAATTTTTTTTAATGTAAATAATTTACTTCATAAAAATCAATTTGGTTTCACAAGGGGTCGCTCGACAACTGATGTTGGTGTTGAGCTGATTAAATATATATTTGATGCATGGGAGAATTCATAGGAAGCTTTGGGTGTATTCTGTGACATATCCAAAGCCTTCGATTGTGTTTACCATGAAACATTAATCAGGAAACTTCAACACTACGGTGTAAGAAGCGATGCTCTTAAATTAATTATTTCATATTTAAGTGACAGAACGCAAAAAGTTGTCATTAATAGTATGAGTTCTTCGGGGTCGATTGTACAAATGGGCGTGCCTCAGGGCTCAATTCTCGGCCCTTTTCTATTTCTAGTTATATTAATGACTTACCTTACATAGTAGGGGATAACCGTGATATAGTATTATTTGCTGATGATACTTCATTAATTTTCAAATTAAAACGACAGTTATTACATTACGACGAAGTAAATAATGCTATAGCTAAGTTAGTCAATTAGTTTAATGTTAATAATTAGAATTTGAATGGAACTAGAACTAAATGTATGAAATTCGTAACTCCTAATGTTAAATATGTAATGTAAGTCGGGGGCAACTGAGTCTTGTTGATACCACAATTTTCTTGGTGGTATCAACAAGACTCTAATGTTAAATATAACTCCTAATGTTAAATATGTCAATACTAATGATTTTTTATATTTACGCGAACACTATACATTGATTAAAACTACTTTTACGGATTTTATCGCGTTTTATTTATATTAAACGAACACATAGCTGACGTGAAGCATCAACGTAACGTTGATGCTTCACGTAAGCTATGTGTTCTTTTACGCGGGTTCTAATTGATATAGGGCAAACAAAGAGATCAATTAGAACCCGCGTAAAAGAACACATAGCTGACGTGAAGCATCAACGTTCCGAGAAGTCTGCAGTTTGCGATCATATTCTAGATGGCCCCAACCATTACATCAGATTTGATAGACCACAAACCTCGCGAAAGAACATCGATTCCTCCCAAGGATGATACGTGAGGCTATTGAAATTAAAAAAAACATCCTAATTTCAATAGAGAAGGAGGTTGGGTACTACCACCTGCTTGGGATCCTATAATTATATATTAATAAAATTAAAACTAAACCCAAGCATACCACTGCAAGACTTCAAAATACAGTTAGTTCATTCTACGTAGATCGGACCAAAGACAATAATTAAAAAGCTGAAGGTACTCCGGGTTAACTTTGACATCGGGACGTCAGTCACCTCAGTCCCCCGTGACCATGGGTGCTGGAAAGCACCCGAAACGTCGGGTATTAAAATTAATATAAATAAAACGCGATAAAATCCGTAAAACTAGTTTTAATCAATGTCAATACTAATGTAATTTTAAATGGGGGGCAACTGAGTCTTGTTGATACCACCAATTTTCTTGGAATCACACTGGACGCAAAGCTTCAATGGCTCCCCCATATATCAAAACTAGCTAGCAGACTTAGTTCTGCAGCATATGCTGTGAAAATGATTAGAACTCTTACCAGTGTTGAAACAGCTAGAATAGTTTACTTTAGTTATTTCCATAGCATTATGTCGTATGTTATTTTGCTGTGGGGACACGCGACTGACACTGAAATTATATTTATTTTACAGAAGAGGGCCATTAGAGCAATATATAATTTAAAACCAAAAGAGTCACTGAGACAAAAATTTAAGGAAATTAATATATTAACTCTGGCCTCTCAATACATTTATGAAAATGTAATGTACGTACACAAAAATAAAAGTAGTTTTGCGAAAATAAGTGATATTTATTCTGTAAATACTAGGAACAGACACAAGCTAGTAGTACCAGTTGCTCGAGTCCACCGAGTCAGTAATTCATTCTTGGGGCGATGTATACGCTTTTACAACAAAATCCCAGAAAATATACAAAATTTGTCATACACGAAGTTCAAAAATGTTATTAAACTAAGTTTGTATAAAAAAGGTTATTATAATATTAAGGAATTTATGGATGATAATAACCCCTGGGAAGGGTGATCGCTACCAACTATTTCTAATTTGTCTTGTGTTGTTTATTGTAAACATAATTGTAAGCTATTATTGGAAAAAAAATAGTCCCGCTGGGTTTCTTGCTGGTTCTTCCCAGGACAGAGGTTTTTTTTGCCAACCAGTGGTAAATGAAAAAAGTGACTTTCAATAATCATCATCATCATCATTACAGCCCTTCACAAGTCCACTGCTGAACATAGGCCTCCCCCAAGTAATGCCACAAAGCACGGTCCTGAGCCACCTGCATCCATCGACTTCCTGCATGTCTTACCAGGTCGTCACTCCATCTAGTGGGGGGTCGCCCTACACTACGCCTACTGGTACGAGGCTGCCACTCGAGAACCTTTCTTCCCCATCGGTTATCAGTTCTTCGAGCTATATGGCCGGCCCATTGCCACTTCAGCTTACTAATCCGTTG